TCTTCCAGAAGTACTCGTGCGACCGAGAATGGGCGTTTGACTTCGCCTCGTGTAAGGACAGAGTTTGCCCGCCGTGGCTTCCTATTTCACGCTAGCAAGCAATGGAATGATTTTTAATGCGCCTGTATGCTACGTGGTTTTAACCCGCGCCCCGCTGGGCTATTCAGCCATACGCGCCCCAGAGGGGCGCGGGTTAACTTGTGTCCGAGTCGCCGATGGTCAGTTTCGATGTGTTTGTATAATTGTGGTGATGAATATGTGCTTGTGTGCGTGTGTCATACCTTCCATTTTGTTTCACCGTATGACGTGACTGAGCGAAAAGCCACCGTTTTGTGTGGACCTCATTTGAATACATCTGAATCTGAATCTGAATCTTGCTATTTTATGTTTTTTGATCTAGCCTGTATATGACGTAGAAACCACAAAACCCATTGTATGAAGGTTCCGAATAAAGGTCTGTCAATGTTTTGCATCAAATTGGTCGAACATGACGTCATTCTGATATCATTTTCGGCCGATCTATAGTAGCTACGAAATTTTTGTTCGAACGTAAGGTGTCAAATTGATGCAGCCGAAGGTACTAATAGTCTTGTGTTGATGCGTATAGCGGTCTAGAAGATATTGCAGAAAAACGAGAGGGGGCTATGAATAGCCACCCCTCAGTCAGGCGCGGGATGAGGTCTTTAACCCACGCCCCGATGGGGTCCCATGGGTTTCCGCGCCCTGCTTGGGGCGTGTCTGTTTGAAGAACCCCGTCTAACTCGGTCCCTGGGCCACGTAGCGACACGCGGTAAGCGCAATTCGAAAGAACGGCCAAAATAAGGACGAAAACATTTATGTCATTTTTTAGGTCAGGTCAAAGGTCAGGTCACCATAGGTCAGCAAAGGCAAAATGTCGCCCATTTCAACAATTTTAGAAGCAACGTCGCATATAGCTCTAGAACCAATAGAGCTGCAGCACCACGGAAAAACGAATTTGATAGCCCTTTTAACCCTCTTTCTGGAGTACGTTCTCAGATTTTACCTCGGGTCGACAGTTAAGCTTCCCGTGGGAAAAAACAGAAAAAAATAGTCTTTTTACGAAAAACATCTTTCTTCAATAATTTTTGACTTGACAGAGTCACCACATTACTTTTGCCAGCATCGTGTTCCTTTCGTCAATTTGACCTCAGGTCAAGGTCATGACCTGACCAGGGAAGGTCAAACTGCATAATGCATATCATCAACTGTGTCGGCGAGGGTTTAAATGGAGAGGTAGCTAAATTGACCTGATCTTAGGTCACTGATATCGAAATTTCAAGACTAACATTTTGTGCATATTAGCCGTTTTCACGACGGGCTATCCGGCGAGTGCACCTAATTTGACCAAATCTGTATCTTATCTCTTTTCCAGCAAATATATTTATTTTATGACTTTATTTCAGTGTAGTCATCGATACTACTCTGATAATATGACAAAGCAGGCATATGAGCAATTAGTGCAGCCCTAGTTGATAGCTACTAAGAGACACACTGAACCTGATTTGACCAAATCTGCACCTAATCTGCACCAGATGTGCAACAAATGTGTACCAGATGGCCGTCGTGAAAACGGCTATTGTTGCTCTTATCAACTGCTGAAAGTTTCAGGTGATCGGTCTCTTAGTGCAGCTATGACAGACATTGAAAACTCATTGTGTTTTCAGGTCAAAGAACGTAGACGACCAAAAGAAACTTGTCGTAGCCTGAGTTGTAATGTAATGTATTTAATGAGACAATTCCCGATGTACTCGGGGCTATTACAGTCTCAGTTATGTACAAAGCATGCAACATATGTACACAGCATTACTCTACTCTACTCCTCGGCGGCAGCTTCACTGGCGGAGCGGGACCCGAAGATACGAGTCCATGCCGCCTCTGCGCCTCCCACCGACTGCACGTCGGCCAGTGTCCTGCGAGAGATGGTGCCGCAGGCCAGCTGACAGGCGAGTCTACCCACGGCGCCTATCCCCCTATCCCCTATCCCTCTCGAATCCCCTATCATAAACCACGCCTAGGTTGCTGTAAAAAATAGCACATCTTATACACACACGAGATGAATCATCCACATTTAACAACAATCACTCGATAGTCATTGCCCTAATATTTCGGACTTCGGACCACGTCACTCTTGCCCAGTCACGGTGCGACTGTCACATAGGTGGCTTACTAAGTGACTCCGGAAAGCTGGCGTCGAGCGTAACGTCAGATCATGTGGCAGCGCATTATACTGGCGAGGTGCACGACAGCAAAACGCCTTCGTCCCATCTCTGAATGTGACATTGGTACGTACAATGTGTTGTTTTGTCTAGTATTGCGGTCACGGGTCTCTGAGCTTTTAATGAGATTTTCAGCCAGTGCTTCAGGTTCGCCTGCGCGACGTACTCTATGAACCATGCACATATGTAGTGTGGTACTGGACGAGCTCATTAGCTTTCAACCAACCCAAACGTTGAAGCACTATCGGACACATGGTCAAATTTCTTGCGACGGAAAATGACTTTGGCGGCATATTTCATCACTTTCTGAATCCGAAGAAGATTTTTGTTTGTGCGTAGGTATTACCATAAACGGATAAACAGTAGCGGATATGAGATAAAACTAAGGCATCCACTAGAATAGAAATGGTAGATGGCGGTAAATGGCCCCTCAGTTGCGACAGTCCGGTAAGAATTCCGAAACAACGGTGCACAACAAAAGAAACATGAGTGTCCCAGCTGAGGGCACAGTCAAAATGAACTCCAAGATTCCTCGCTTCGGAAACAGGAGTCAAATTACAATTATTAAATTTTACAACATAGCTGGAAATGTTTCGCAAATTCTGTGGGCTACCTAACAACATTAATTGAGTTTTCTCACAATTAAGTTTGAGCCCGTTAGATCGGAACCATGACCCCAGAGATTCCAACACTTGTTCCAGCCTGCTAACAACAAGACTGAATTCCGCCTTTTTACCACTGACTAAAATTTGTATGTCATCTGCATACTGCACGATCATTGCATCATCAGCAAATAGACTGAGATCGTTTGCAAAAATGCAGTAAAGCAATAGACCTAGCGCTGAGCCCTGAAATACACCGATATTATTAGGGAGCGGCTTGGAGCAACGGAGGTTTCCCAAGCTGTCAGAAAATGTGACACTTTGCATATGGCCCATAAGGTAGCTTGAAAACCATGAGACATCAATCCCATGTAGCTGTAATTTTGTTAGGAGTTTGGAGTGGTCAATTACGTCAAAGCATTTACTTAGATCAAGCATGCACAGGAATGAAAGCTCTTCTCGATCATTAGCGGAGAGGATAGGAGACGGTCATAATCAGATATAATCAGAGACGGTCAGCAGAGCTGTTTCGGTTGAATGGCGTGGACGAAAACCATGTTGAGTAGAGGAAAGAAGATGATTACTAGAAACATAACTGTAAACTTGCTGGTGAACGGCTCGTTCTACGATTTTGGCGATCACGGGAACTACCGAAATCGGTCTATAACTGGATGGTTTAGAGGATTCTCCTGACTTATAAATTGGAGAAACAAGTGAGTTCTTCAAAATACCTATATATTTTGCCGTAATCGCCTATATAGGTATATAATACTAAGCCGTAATCGCCACGCCATATGTGGAAGGCTTTTGGTGTCAATACATACAGACATACATACATACATATTTTTATAGGCTAGCTAAAGCGCTAACGATTTTGAATCATTTTAACCCTCGCCGGACCTATTGGTTTTCTACATACGCGCCGGCCGAAGGGGGGGGCGGGCACGACCCCCTCGCTGTTTCGCCCCTGGTGGAGCTAGCGCGTCGCGGAAAAAACAAGCGTGCGCCGTTACGAGCCGACTTTAAGGTCCTAGGTCAACCGGTGACATCTGAGGCAAGATCAAGTGCCCCAAGGTACGGTTCTGTTTTTGGTGAATAACTTCGCAAAAAACGGTCGCAGAGCCGTGATTTTGGCAGCATCGTGTTCGCCTCGCTCAGGCGCGTCGAATGATATACTTTTTGTTCGGGTCAGGTCAACTTTGGGTGTTGACCTCAGGTCAAGGTCAGGTCAGCACCCCCAGGTCACGAAGCTGGTCGAAAGAGGTCATGTCGCATATCATTCGATTCGGCAGGTCTTCCTGAGTCCATTGGTGGCTTCCGCGCGACTCGCTAGCTCAATTTGATCAAGAGTTATTGACAAAAACTAATATGACCTTGCTGACGTCATAAATGACGTCACGCAAGGTTAACATTGCAAAAGTGACACATCTAACCTTGCAAGGAGTGCATCAAATCACGATTCTGTGTGCTTGAGATAGTTGAAGATCGTTCCCGGCGCCAGAATAGTAGTTTTCATTTTTCCCCATTGACTTATAATGGTGAGGTCACGAAAATGACCTGACCTCATATGACCTTTAGGAAAAATCCGAGATATACAAGTTTTGAGACTCATAATGGATACTAGATTCTGCAAGTTTCATTTCCCTGTGACATCTCCTCTGGCAGTGAGGGCGTTGCGAAGTTGCGACATCTGAAGACCGTGCAGAGGTTCACTTATGACGTCATAGGTCAGTGACCTGACCTGACCCAAAAATGCGGTTGGTGTCATAAGATCCGGCTGGGATCAAAGGTCAGGTATGCCAAGTTTCAGCTCTCTATCGCCAGTGTGTTTGGAGCTATCGCGAAAAAAAACCCTATGGGGGGGGCACTCGCCCCCCCCGGCCGGCGAGGGTTAAATTACGCTCTGAACATGTTTTTGGCATCCATCTCAAGGAGACCGTCATTGATTCGATAGCTATTTTAGATGAACTGTGGCATGGTGTGTCTAGAATCGTGACTGCTATGCTATGACTGCTATGCTATGAGGTGAAGATATGAAAATATTCGTAAAAAAATCTTCGTGGAGTAATTCTTGGGGCTGCTGTATTCTTGGGGCCTGTGACCAAGACCTGCCGAGTTTACATAATTCGTTCAGTTCACTATGCATACAGCGCTGACGTCCGTCGCGTTGGTCGGTCGGTGCTCGTCGCTGCCGGCGGCGGCACCGGCGGCCTTCCTGATGTGCCCAGGAGCGCTCCGTCTCGGCAGCCGTGTCGACGGGTCGGCGCGGCAGTCGCTCGCCGGTCGCCGCCGCCCTCAGCACGCGCTCGTCCCGCCGCACAGTGCGCCAACATGAAGCAGGTGAGAGTTCAAAACACGTCTGCTTCGGCCAGCGCCTGCTCTGTCGGCTATCAGTGCTTGAAAATAGAGGTGTTGCTGAAAATAAATCTTCAACGGTGGCCTGTTTTACAACGGCCTTAGCAATTGTGAATTATTGATGGGTCATTAAGGCTTAGGTAGGTAGGTACTTGTCTAAAAGGAAATATATCACTTTTAACTATTTAACTATTAAACGATAATTATCTATTTAACTTAACATACTCAACTATAACACTATTTAGCCTCTACCAGGGATGGAAAATAAGTATTCCTATTTAAAAACATTTAAATTCCTTTTGTCAAATAATATTTTTTCTGATCATTGTAAGCATAAAAATCATGAAACTGTAGCAAAAAAAAAAAACTTTTTGAAGAAATTGACATATTTCCTTAATGGTATTAAAAAACTTCCAATTGCGTCGTATTTGAAATTTTGATTTTACCATAATGAAACAATTCAACCAAAAACGTTTTGTGTCTATACTTAAATTGCTTTTAACCCGCGCCCGGCTTGGGGTCCTGGATTTCCACGCCCTGCTGGGGGGGGGGGGTGTTTGAACACCTCCTTCTAACTTGGCTCCTGGGCCACGTAGCGATACGCGGAAGGCGGCGTTCGAAAGAGCGTCAAAAATAATGAGGAAATCACCTCAGTCAATTTTTTGGTCAGGTAAAAGGTCAGGTCACCAGAGGTCATTGAAGGCAAAATTTTGCCGATTTCCAGGTCGAATGTCGACAATTTCCAAGAAGCCAACGCATAACTCGGGAACCAATAGAGCTACAGCGCCGCGGAAAAGCGCATTCGATAGCCCTATTAACTCCCTTTCTGAGTAGTTCTCTCAGATTTGACCTAACGTCAACGGTTTTGCCTGCAGGGGACAAAAACTGCAAAAATAGCCGATTTTTTCGGAAACAGTTTTTCTGCAATAACTTTTGACCCAAGCCTTGTACGAGCTTACTTTTACGGCATCGTGTTCCTCTCGTCAAGACGCATCGAATGAACTATAACTTGACCTTGAAAGGTCAACTTGAAAATTTGACCTCAGGTCAAGGTCATGACCTGACCGGAAAGGGTCATGTTGCATATCAGTCGATCCGTATCGTCGAGCTGAACACATCTAAGACGTTTTCATCGCTCTAGCATGCCTCTATCAAAAGTTATTTGCGAAAAACTGTTAGATACCATTTGTGACCTAAGATGACCTCAGGGCATAAACAGGGGTCACGGACACCATTTTTATGTTCAGTGTGTCTAAACCACTTGTAATTCAGTGTTTGGGAGTGTTTATAATGTATTTCGTCCTAAAGAGGCGCATTTCAGTTTTCTCCCATTGACTTATAATGGGGAGGTCGCAAAATTGACCTGACCTTAGGTCATAGATATCAAAATTCTGAGATATACATTTTGTACATGCTATTGCTCTTAGCAATCGCTGAAAGTTTCAAAGCGATCGGTCACTCGGTGTAGCTATGACAGACATTGAAACTTTTTATGAGGTGAGGTCACTTCAAGTGACCTGGTGACCTGACCTTGCATGACCATGGTCTGAAATTTTCATAACATGTGTAGAATTGATGTATGATAAGGTGTACCAAAAACGGCGGATTCGCGAAAAACCACAAGGGGGGGTGTTCAAACACCCCCCCCCCCCCAGCAGGGCGCGGGTTAACCCTCGCCGGCCGAGGGGGGGGGGGGCGGGTGCCGCCCCCCATAGGGTTTTTTCGCGATAGCTCCGAACACGCTGGCGATAGAGAGCTGAAACTTGGCATACCTGACCTTTGATCCAAGCCGCATCTTTTGACATCAACCGCATTTTTGGGTCAGGTCAGGTCACTGACCTATGACGTCATAAGTGAACCTCTGCACGGTCTTCAGATGTCGCAACTTCGCAACGCCCTCACTGCCAGAGGAGATGTCACAGGGAAATGAAACTTGCAGGATCTAGTATCCATTATGAGTCCCACAACTTGTATATCTCGGATTTTTCCTAAAGGTCATATGAGGTCAGGTCATTTTCGTGACCTCACCATTATAAGTCAATGGGGAAAAATTCAAACTGCTATTCTGGCGCCGGGAACGATCTCAAACTATCTCAAGCACACAGAATCGTGATTTTATGCACTCCTTGCAAGGTTAGATGCGTCACTTTTGCAATGTTGACCTTGCGTGACGTCATTTATGACATCATCAAGGTCATATTAGTTTTTCGTCAATAACTCTTGATCAAATTGAGCTAGCGAGCCGGGAAAGCCACCAATGGACTCAGGAAGACCTGCCGAATCGGATGATATGCGACATGACCCCTTTCGACCAACTTCGTGACCTGGGGGTGCTGACCTGACCTTGAACTGAGGTCAACACCCCAAGTTGACCTGACCCGGACAAAAAGTATATCATTAGACGCGCCTGAGCGAGACGAACACGATGCTGCCAAAATCGGCGCTCTGCGGCCCTTTTTTGCGAAGTTATTCACCAAAAACTGAACCGTACCTTGGGGCACTTGACCTGACCTCAGAGGTCACCGGTTGACCTAGGACCTTAAAATCGGGTACCAATCTCTGCGTCTCGTAACGGCGCACACGCTCGTTTTTTCCGCGACGCGCTAGCTCCACCAGGGGCGAAACGGCGAGGGGGGGGGTCGTATCCGCCCCCCCCCCCTCGGCCGGCGCGTATGTAGAAAACCAATAGGTCCGGCGAGGGTTAAGTTGAAGTCATTCATTCAAGTTAATGAAGTTAATCATTCAAGTTACAGCATCTGGTCAAGTGGAGCTAGTTCATTGACTCGCTACGAACCTAATGACATAGATATTTTGCTTGTAATGACAAAGCACAGAAAAACAGCGCCGCATTTTCTATTGATGAAGGTGTTGAAAAAAGCACGCGCAGGGAAGAGAGAGGGGGGGGGGGGCGAATTCCAGCCACCCTTCCTGTTTTTCGCAAACATCTCACGCCGTATTAATTCTATTAACGTCAAATAGTGAAAATCAGTTTTCACGACGGGATATCTGGCGAATGTACCCAATTCTCACCAAATCCACCACGTATAAGCTTTTTGATAACAAATATCTTTAAGTAATGAATTTATTTCACGGTTTTAACCCGCGCACCGACGGGGGTCTGCGCCAACTTCGTACTGACGGGGGGATGACCGCCCCCCTGAGATCTCAAGAACAAAGCAAGATAGCGACAAGCGGTAAACGGCATCGGATACGCACGGACAAGGTCTACAATTTTTACAAAGGTCATTTTCAGGTCAGGTCAAAGATGACGTCACAGGGGTCAAAAAAGTCAAAATGGCGGCGCTAGATATGGAGAGAGTTTTTCTCGAATAACTTTCGAATTAATCAAGATAGGAACAAACTAAGGTCATCATCGTGATCCTCTCGTCAATCCGCATCGAATGATATATATGTTGACCTCGAAAGGTCAAGGTCAAAGGTTGACCTCAGGTCACGTGACCTCGAGGTCATCATGCATATCATACGATGCGTCTTGACGAGCTGATCACAATGAGACCATCCGCGCGGCTGTATCTTGTTCCTGTACGGAGTTATTGGCAAAAAAACCGCTGGTGACCTTTGATGACGTCACATGACCTTACAGCTGTCCAACAGCAAAACAGACCTCAAAGTAGTGAAGGTTGATCGTATATGAAGTCATGTATGGTATATGGTGCCATTCTGACCCGTTTTAGTGGTAAAAACAGGGAGTTGATTTTTCCCCCATTGACTTATAATGGGGAGGTCGAGAAATTGACCTGACCTTAGGTCACCGATATCAAAATTTCGAGATATACAAATTGTAGCTACTAATGACCTCATAACATCCTGCGACTTTCAAAGGGCTCCGACATCTACTGTAGCTCTGGCACGGTGACAAAGTTGCAAAAAAGTGACTTGAGGTTGAGTCATTCAAAGTGACCTGGTGACCTGACCTTGAAAGTTAGGAGGTTCAAACTTGCACATCATGTGTAAAATTGATAAGTGAATAGTCCTACCAAATTTCGTGGCGCTACGCGCCGCGGTTTTCCCGCTATTCGCGAAAAACCTCAGGTGGCGGATATCCGCCCCCCCCCCCCGTCGGTGCTCGTGTTAATCGATGACAATGTGTGATGACTTACGAGCGAGCGAGCGCAGCGAGCGCAGCGAAGTCTTTTCAGTATAACGGAAAAATCTCAGTATGAGCGGCCCGGCCCGGCCCGGCCCGACCCGGCCTGTAACGCTTTTGAGAGGCTTTTATCTCAGCAACCGCTGGACCGATTGGCCTGCGGTCTTTTTTGCTGGGTAGCCCCATCCCTTCTACCCCGTAATTGACTACTTTTGATACATCTCAGTGACCGCCGTGGCACGTGCCACGTGAAAAGTCAAGGGTGTTCAAGCAGTTTTGCAAAAGTAATGATTTTGAGAGGCCCATATCTCAGCAGCGGCTTGAGCGATTGTCTTGCGGTGATTTTTATAGGGTAGCTGCATCCCTTCTAACAAAGGTCGGATACTCATGATCTATGTGAGTGACCCCCACTGCACGTGCAAAATACAAAAAGAAGAGGTGCCAAATTTGTTCCCATTTCAGTAACTCGGTAATTACTGGGGCGATTCCGTTGAAACTTGGCATACAGGTAGGCACCCACCAGGCCATGCATTCCCACGTGTTGCGGTTAGGGTGCTACTGCACGTGCGCACGTGCAGGGGGCGTTTCCAGATCTCGAGAACGGCTGGACCGATTGCTCTCAAATTTGGTACACGGTTGGGGACCGGTTAGTAGGGTGCCGTGCAAAAGTCATTTTGGACCCCGTTTGTACGTGCGCACGTGCAGAATGCCGCTTCCAGATCTCAGGAACGGCTGGGCCGATTGCGTTCAAATTTGGCACACCGCTAGCGAACGGTTAGAAGGGTGCTTTGCACAAACCCGTACGAAGTACCCTCTGGCCCTTCCGCATGTGCAGGGCTCACTATCTCGCTCGCTCGTTCTTCGCCCAAAAGGCGTT